TTTCTCTCTCTCTCTTTCTTTCTCTCTCTCTCTCTCTCTCTCTCTCTCTCTCTCTCTCTCTTTCTTTTTCTTTCTTTTGCTTAAATTCTTTTATCGGTACATTTTAGGTATGCAATACATTTACATTTATCATTGGGTACTTGTCCCTGTACATGATGTATCTTGGTTCTTATTTTTCCCCCATTCCCTGTGCACCCTTCACCCCTTCACCCTTCCCTATTTACAGAGACTTTGTGACACTGCCAATTTCAAAGTGCCTGGCACAAAGCCAATGGCAAATGAATGATGACTCTGTGCCCCTTCCTCCTGGGGACTTTTCTTTTTCATTGCACCAAGGCAGAAGAGTCTTGGTGGGTTTGTGGCACAATTTCCTGCTTTTCTTGGATGGTGGAGCAGATTTCTGCAAGCCACCCCATGTCCAGGGATCCCAAGGTCGGTCTGTGTGTGGCTATTCCAACTGGCTTAATTGGCTAGATCAAAGTCTCCTACAGGAGGCAGAGGCATACAAATCTTCCCATCAGTGTGGACAGCAGTATTTAGGTCCTTGAGCATCTCCAACATCACTTGCATTGTTATAGGAATTTCTCAGAAACAGTGACACAGGCAATACCTACCTCCTGCCTCCTGCCTGCCTAACTTTGGGAGTCACTGTGGAAATCAAGTGGCCTTTCCATGAGGAATAAGTATTCCAAGGGTGGGCTATAGAAGAGCTTTTAAATTCATGTCTGCATTAATGTTCAGAAAATACTTAGTGGACTTCTGCTGCAAGCTGCCCACTGTGCTGAGTGCCAAGGAGGCAGCACTGAACAAGACCCTCTCTGCTCAGAGAGAGAAGCAGAAAGAGCAGAAAATTGTCTGCAGATTAACATTGAGAGTCAAGCAAAGAGCTTCCTGATACAGGACGAAAACTAGAATATTATATGTGAATTGGCTTTTATGTTTCTATTTGCTAGCAGAGCATAGTTTTTCAAAATTCATTTTCCCAGAACATGTCATGTATAAAAAGACAATTAGTAAATTGACTTCTAGGCAAATGAACAGCTGTCTATGCAGAGAATCTGTGCAACTCTGATGAGGAGAGATCTGCCAAGTGAATGCGCTGTGGGCAGCTGAGGGGGCCACCAGGTAAGGGGCGTCCAGCTAGACAGGGGTTTGGCCTTCAGCCTTTTTGCTATAAAGAGAAGAAGGCAACGTCCCCATTGCATATGCTCTTTAGGGGAGGCCTTGAAAATGGCTGTACTGCAATCGTGGCTCACTTTCGTAAGGCCTCACTGTTCTCTACCAGTGACCTAACTTGGGGCTTCAGCTGGGTTAGCTCTACCCTGCTGCAGTTCCCTTTCTATAAAAGCAGAGCATCAACCAAGGACTGAGGTGTCAGGAAACATGGGACTCAGACAGGCTTCACTATGTACAGTTGAGAGAAGTTCAGCCTTCAGAAGCTCTGTTTCCCTCTCTTAGAAGTCATTTAGTGTCTTCCCTGGAGCTTGGTGTCCTTGAACTCAGAAACAGGACTTCTTCTAAAAGAAGTCCACTAATCATGCTTGTTGAGCAAGTGGAGGAAGCACAGTGCAAAAGTTTGATTTTGTCTTTGGGTCAGCACCTGCACAGACATCCAAGGTGTCTTCGAAGTCACAACTTGGCCCCCATGGAGAGGGGTTTGTCATTAGGCCTGGCCTTTCTTCAAGGTGGAAACCACTTGGGGGAATTTGCATGGGCAGCCCTTGAATAGCTCAGGTGGACTGGGCATGGGGTCAAAGGCTGTCCTGACACTGCTCCCTTCCTGAAGATGCCCTCCTCATCCTGGGGCCAGCCAGGTGAGCATCTTCAGGGGGGTTTCTCTGCCAAAGGGTTGAGCCAGGATTCTTCCCAATACTGGGGGTTGACCTTGGGCTTTCTCAGTGAGCTCCATCCTTTACCTTTGAAAAATTTTTATTTTTATTTTGAGACAGGGTTTCACTGAGTTGCCTCAAACTTTCTATCCTCCTGCTTCAGTCTCCCAGAGTGCTGGTGACATGTGCCACCATGCCTGGCCAAAGACCAAGCCAGGTTTGAAACTTTTTTGCCACTGGGAATTTATATCACTTGCGTGAGTTATTGTGTCTCTCAGTCTTTAGCTTCTTTATAAGCTACTTGGGGAGAATATGCCTGAGTTATTTTTGTCACTCCTATGGCAGGACAGTGCTGAGAACCCAGTAGGAACTAAGGTTAGGTTGCTGTCAGCATCACTCACCAACACCATCAACTTTCAAGTGTGTTTGTTTTCCCAGCTACAGATGCTCAAAGGTGCCACATATGGAAATAGAAAAGAATCAGAGAATTAAAACATTGTTGGCAATGGTGAAATTCCACACTGTCTAGAGACTCTTTTCCTGCTCTCTGATTTTTTTTTGACTTATTTGATCCTGGGTAGCAGAGAGTCCTACTGCACTTTCTGTTGTCATAACTGAATACTAGTACTTCATAAAGAACAGAGGCGTATTTAGCTCAAGGTTCTGCAGACAGAGAGGGCCTAGAGAATCACACCAGCATCTCTTCTTTTTGGCATCTGCTGAGGGCCCCCTTGGTTCACCATAACTTGGCAGAAGGCATCACATGGTGTGCCCAAGAGAGCCATTTCCTAACAAAGATGCTCCTTCGACAATGCATTAATCTGTGCATGAGGGCAGAGCGCTCACCACCCAATCACATGCTGAAGGTCTTGTCACCAAATATCATGAACCTATGAAATTGGGGGTTGAGTTTACAACACATAAAGTTTTGAGGATGTATTCAAACTATAGCAAGAGGCATGGGAGAACTGCAGGATGTCTGAAATGAAAATATGTTGTTTAATATTCATCCATTCATTTGTTCATTCATTTTTCCACCTCACAAGGAATTTTGGAACATCAGTCATATACAACCATGAATCAGGCATAGATCTCCTTTTGTGATTCTTTCTAGGTGGTTAAGAGAAGTAGTGCAGCATCTTAAAACCCTTAATACAATGTAGAAAATGACAAGTGCTACTACTGTTAGACAGACATAGTCACACTACTGTGGGTGATCTGAGGAAAGACAGTTTATCAGCAAGGGGAAGCATGGGGAGAATCTGAACAGAGATGAGGTGGAGGGAGGGAAGGGCGTCTAGGCCGAGGATGGGCCTGAGGAGGGATGAGCTTCTCTTCTCCATTTTCAAATGCCTCCACATCCTCTTGTAATTTAAAGTTCCCTGACCTTTAATGTGGCTTGTGCTCCAGTATAGAGTCTGCTTTTTCCATTTTTCTGTGTGACTTAAGTTTTTGCGTTGAATCAACCTGAAATTTCTGAAACAAATCAACT